GGCACGCGCGCCTTCGATCGCGTTTTTTAAAAATTTTCGAAAACGCCCTCGCCCCCCCTCGACGTTTCTTTCGAAAGTTTTCGCGTTTTCGGAAGAGAAGGAGAGGTTGAGAAAAAGGGGAAAGGGATCGAGATCGGTTTATTATAACAAACGGTGCCGATTAGGAGTCGAAACGTGGAAACGATATCGTTAGCCTAAGATCTCGTCGAGACGCAGCGCGCAAAAGTAAAGGGGAAAAACGTCTATTCGATAATGCGGCAAGTATTTTTATCGTAGCGCGAGTTGTCATGATCCGGGTAAACGATCGGGGCGCGTCTGCGATTATATTTCCTTACTCGTCGCAAAAGTATACGCATCCACGTACTTTCTCCAGTTTCTTTAATTGCGCCGCGTTTTTCCACGGCTGAAAGTTAATTGCCATACGATGTGTCCTCCGTGTGCCCGGCCAAATTTGTCCGCGGAGGGAATTACGATGATAGGTGCCTCGCGTCCGGCAAGTTCGCATTCTTAAGCTGTAAGAAATCCGAACAGCCACCTGTGTGCCTCGTAACGTGCAATCTTGCAGGCTGGAATGCATCATCCGATTTGCTTCGTGCACGAACTACACATCCGTACGTTATCTCCGCGGCGAGACACTCGCATTCCCTTCCCAATATTTCTCCCCTCGACCCGCCGAGTTTAAATACGTCGACTCGAGTCGAATCGAATCGCGACGCGACGCGACGCGCGCCTGTTTATTATTTCGGTGCATGCGGGACGTCGGTCATCTAACGGTGGTCCTCGTCGTCGTCGTCTTTCGTCGCCCTCCCTCCCTCCCAGTGTGGCAGCCTACAGTACGTACGCGCACAGCCTAGGACCTACCTCAACGACGACACTCGGCGACGGCGTTCCAACGAAATTCCTGAGAACCCGCGGTCGCGTGGAAAAAAGTATGGCGCGCAAAGCCGGTGGACACCGGTGCAAGCGCATCTCCGCTGTTGGCCGGCAAGAAGATGCTGAAAAATGCGGTAATGACGCACTGTCCTCGCATTGCTCGCGACAATTATACCCCATTACGCCCGTCCCGCCACCACCCCCTTATCGTCCGGATCGTGTCTGTGCCCGAGGACCCGAGCTACGTTGCGGTAGGTCGCGATCCTCTCGCCCGAGACTCTCTATATATCCCCTTCGCTCGTTTATTCCCTCCCCATTATCTCCCCTTATTTATCGCCTCCCGCTAATTTTCCAATTTCGCCCCTGTTTCTTTACTCTTCCCCCATTTCCGCGAACGCGATCGATCGTCGTTCATCGTTTCGTCGCGCAGGATAATCGCGAAAATT